CAGATATGAACAAAAAGGACGCAGCGGAAGAGCTCGCGGGGATCAAAGAAGAACTCAAACGCTGCATGAACCAGTTCAACAAAGATCCAAAAAGAGCTCATCCCAATTTGACAGAGTGCGAGAGAGCCTCATTGGCACATGTCGATCCTGATGTCAATCTCGGTGAAGAAGAATTCTACTTCCCTCATCGAGGAGAATGTCCCACCGTTGACGAGTACAAGCAAGCTCAACCAGGATCCGGATATCCGATCAAGCTACCGCTTGGATTGAAGAAGCTCAGGTCACAAGATGACCCGAAAATCATCCGAGCCTATGCCGATATCCTGGGATCGCTGATGCAGCCGACTGACCGTATGCATGAGTTCACCTCACCCATAGCGATCAACACGCTTACCCTGAACCATGGAAACCTCACAAGGAATCCAAAGTTGGACAACAGGGAGGTGTACAACATGCCGATGAAGGATCGACCGATCGTCAAGATGATGATGCAGAACAGTGCACACATCTTATGCCTGAATGAAGCAGACGCATTCTTCAGTCCGAATGATGAGAAATCCAGGGGGCTCATCAAGACCCGACACGGTTACAAGGGCATCGTGATCAAGCAATGGTCATCCAGACCTATCGCATGCTTTGTCCGCGGCGGACCCTCTGCACGAGTGGAACTTCTCGCCAAACACATTTCCACCAGGAGCCAGAATTGGGGAACCACATTCGGAATGTTCAGATGTTTCTTCGGAACTAAGGGAGATGGCACTGATCCCGAATACGAAATTCCGACCTCGGATTGCTTGGCAACCACAGGAACATCCATGTTTACTGAACCCAAGAAGTACATTGGATCGAGATTGCCAGCACGCACCATTGTCCAAGGACATGGCCGAGACAAGGAGATCGTCGTTCTCCACATCGAGCAGAGTGATGAGTTTCGTGGCATTATCCCGAAATCATCCGACAAGTCATTCCACGAGTATGACGACCGCCACATAACGAGGGCAGATCTACCATTCGCAACCATTGGAGTCTTCCACATCCATCCTTCACTTAGCCATGGAGCAGCAAAGGAAGATCTTCAGAATGAAATCATGCCGCTCGTGACCTTGTACCGATGCGATGCGATCACCGGAGACGCCAACAAATCGGCGAACACCTACAGCAAACTCCAGCATGTCTACAATCCGACCAACGGTCTCGTGAACATCCTCATGAGAGCATATCAGAGACTGTGGAATGCAACGAAGAATTTGCCACTCGTGGACAGAATGGAGTATGCAATGGAGACTTCGTGCACCCTGAAATCCATTGTCCGTCATCACCTGCACATGAAATGCGGATCAGGTTTTGATCGAACATTCCCAGATGTGATGATGACTATCGTATTTGGATGGGGCAAAACGAACATCCAGCAGGATTTCCGGAAGGTCGAGATGAACGGTATGGATGATGAACAACTGGAATTCATGCGGAACCATCCAACCAAGGCCAGATTCGATTACCAGGTCTCATCCGCAGAGCGCTACAAGCACGTGAACAATGAAATGCTCATGAATGGCTCGCAGGACTCCGACTCCCACAGTCCTCTCATGGCTTACATCCGCAGCAAGTCTGCAACCAGTAAACGCAGCTCTGAGAGATACCAGGATTACGTCAAGAAGAAGCAATCATCCTGGACCACGCAGGAGTACAAGGACTACAACAAGCAGTGGGGACATCAGAAGCAGTGGAAGGACTATAGCACTTCGACCTGGAATGATTATGGAGACCATGGCAGTCAATCCGACAGCAGCCGCCGATGGTATCGTCGATCCGACTGACCATGAAGATATGTTCAGCACCACGAACAATCCAGATGATTGATCCTCCTCGTCTACAAGACTATACCATGAGTGAGAGATCAATAGTTTCACAATTGTTCCGCGTGTACATAGCAAATTTCTTTTGATCTCCAGCACAAAGTATGAAATACTATTGGCTTCATGGCCTTTGACCGTAGCCTTGATGTGTGGCGTAGCCATGTGATTAAAAGTGCCGGATTCATCCTTTTTCTGCTTGGATGAAATGTCTTGGCCTTCGAAATGGGAAACACTATGTACTGCTTCTTTTTGGATACCTAATTGTATCAAAGGGTGATGTACAACGTGTTCTGTTTTTCAGACCATTGATCTCCCGCAACATTTGGCTCAAGGGCCCCTTTTGCATAATCACGACCATCCGAGCGTGAAGACAAAGAGCCATTGCAGGCCGCTTACAGGATTATCCACAAGACAATCCACCAGGGACAATCCATCCTCCAATCATCCATTACTGGCATATTGGACTCTCCGGAATAGATTCAGGGACCAACAACGACCTCAACTACCACAGGGTTCCAGTTCCCTCCGGGGATGGGCACCTAGGGCAGTGGGCCTCACCCCCCCCCCCCAATTAACACCTTTTCTTATTAGGGGTCGCCGGTTTTTGCCTGAATTATAGTCCAGTTTCTGCTACTTAGTATTGGACTTGCATTGGAAAGTGGATCCGCTTTGATTTGCAGGAGAAAACGCACAGATTAGAACATTTTTTGTAAGAACTCTGAAAGGGACATTCCCGAAGTGAAATTCTTGGAATGTTTGGGGTTGGCGCGTGGGCTCCAATAATAAAACTTGCTTCGGATGCAAAGGAAAGGGGCTTGCTTTTGTTGGACACACGTAGCTCGGAACCTTCTTGTTTCAAACGCGCTATGGACGGGGGGGTCCTAATCAAAGGAAGTTTAGTAAGAAAACTTCCGTAATACGAAAAGTTGAATCACAAGATCCGGACACACTCAGAAGTGAAGTCTGCACGGAAAATCGCGAAGGGTACCTCTGTTCTGCGTGCGGTCTCGCCACGGTCTCGCCACGGTCTCGCCACGGTCTCGCCACGGGTTCGCCACGGGTTCGCCACGGTCTCGGAAAGTTGTCCATTGTAATGCTCGCGCAGACGTTTTCGGAGGTCCATTTTGCGTGGCAGGCGCAGCACTTTTGCGACCCAAGGGTCGAGTACAGATTTCGTGGCAGGCGCGGCACTTTCACAAGGTCAGGCGATACATCGATAGATGGATAGATAGATCAGATGGGAAGAGAGAGAGAGAGAGAGAGAGAGAGAGAGAGAAAGACAGAGACGAAGGTGTAAATCACGTGGCAGGCGCAGCCCTTTCGCAAGGTCAAGTACAGATTTCGTGGCAGGCGCAGCATTTTCACAAGGTCGAGTACAGATTTCGTGGCAGGCGCGGCACTTTCGCAAGGTCAGGTGATAGATAGATTGATAGATAGATAGGTAGATAAAGAAAGAAAAAAGGAAATAAGTCAAGAGAGAAAGAAAGAAGAAAAAGAAAGAAAGAACGAAAGAAAGAACGAAAGAAAGAACGAAAGAAACAAAGAAAGAATGAAAGAAAGAAAGAAAGAAATACAGACAGAAAGAAAGAAAGAAAGAAATAAGAAAATAAGTCAAGAGAGAAAGAAAGAAGAAAGAGAAAGAAAGACAGATAGAAAGAAAGAAAGAAAGAAGAAAGAAGGAAAGGAAGGCAGGAAGGAAGGAAGAAAGAAGGAAAGAAAGAGCGCAACCAAAACAACAAGTCAAGCTCTTCCTATAGGCACTCTTCTCGCTTTAGAAACTTCCGTCCACCGGCTTCGCCGGCTCTACTGGTAAGCACATTTTGAGAGCTTGGTGGAAACATGTGTGGTCTCAGGAGTTTAGTATTGGTTTAGTATTGGCTAGTTTAAAAAATTGTACGTGTGATTTTGGCGCAGCTGAGGGGGGTTTTATTGTTAGGGGCCCCGCCGCTACGTAATCGCGCGTTTGGACGCATTTCGTGTGTTGCATTTCGTGTGGCCTGCGTGGGACTTCCTAGACATGTATCACAAAAGCGACACATTTTGCATGGTATTTCACACGCTCGCGGGTTCGCGGGGGGGGGGGGGAGGAGGCGTCTTGGGGTGGGGTGGGGTCATAAGTGCCGCGCCACGCGATCACGTGTATCGCGGGGGGGGGGGAGGGGTGGGGTCTTGGGGTGGGGTGGAGTCATAAGCGCCGCGCCACGCAATGTGAAGGAAAAGACTTTGCGGATTCTAGATGCGGATTTCTGTGTCCCTGTACCCTATCATAGAAAGTTCTTGTCTTGCAGCCGCATAATCATCGCATTGTTCGGTTACAAGTGTTGGAAGGTTTTGTTGGACCCACCATGGCTTGTTTCAACAGAAAGCGGACCGGGGCTGATCAAAGAATCGACATGATTGGTAGCAAGTGTCTTTTGCCAACTATTCAGCTACGCATGGGGACATGTTCTTGGTACAGCTTTGGCTTCTCTTCTTTCGGCTGGTGATCCCTTTTGCTCGCAATCTTAAATCGCTTCGAAAGCACGAAACCTAGGCGAAAAGGACCTTTCCCCCATTTTTCCAGGAAAAAGCGAGAGAACCACCAGACCTCCTTCAAGTTAGTTCTTCTGTTTCGTGTGGTCTGCGCGGCACTCGGCGACTACCTGCAGAAAGCAAGGCGGGTGGCCGCGCGGTTACGCGGCGGCGGCGCGTTGTTAGGGGTAGGTTGATTAGTAGGAAGAAGCGATTTAAGCGATTTGTGGCGGCGAGGATGCCTGTCGCAATGAGCATCGCGATGCTTAGACGCACCACCCTTCACAATGGGGAAGGCTGAGGCTTTGATCTGGGAGTTTTTGCTGGGGAGCCCGGTAAAATAGCAGAACAATTAGAAGTGCGTAAGAACTATCCCGTTTATTTACGGTGTCCCGCAATAGTGCGGAGACGCTTTATTGGTCCTGCTTGTTTTTTCTTCCAACCATGTGGAACGGTACGTGTTTGAGAGTCGTCACTATGGTCAATATGCCCGACAGTTGTGGCTCTGACAGTTCTTTCTCCTCATCCTACACTTCTTGCTCATGTTGACAGCTATCATCAGCCTTGGCCATCCATTTCATCATCGTTGCGATTGTCGCAAGCGAGGGCCACTTCACCATGCTTCCAAGCAAGGACGATATCTTTGCCTTCTTCATCATAGACACGTCCACAAAGTACAGGCCAGGGTGAGGCTGAGTATCGCTGAGTGGCCGTGTCTTTGAGAGGGACACTGAGGTTCATGACCCTTCGAGATGACATCGTGTTCTTTGTGTTTCTGTATCAGCCCGCCCCCCAGACAAAGCGATCAAGTGTTGAAGGAGGGCACAAGGTGCCCGCGCGGATGTATGCATATGTGTATGAATATGTGTATGTATCTGGGTATAGGCGTGTTTGAATACATGTAGAAAAGTATATACGTAGAAATGTTTTGTGTACAAACACAGATGAATAAAGAAGGTATATGGTACCGCCCGGTCTGGGTGAAGTCTCATCACAGCACAGGTTTGTTGAGGCGCCGTATCTGAAGATTTCTTTTTTGGGGGGGGGGGCAGGGCTTGTCTGGCGATGGCCCCGCATGTTTACCATTGTGCTTGGCGGGCGGCCTCGGGCGCTTGACGAACGCTGGCCGCGTCGAGGCTTTGTAACCCACAGTGCAAAACTAGCGAGCCAGACTTCGCTTTGCAGCCCCAACAGTTTGCAGACCATGTCGCAGGTTCATAAACCCTGGTTTGTAAGGGTGGTTTGCCTGGTTGAAGTTGGTCGGAAGTGGCTGCATCACCGCAAAAAAAAAAGCAGCTTGTGAGAGTCTTGCAACTTTTGGGTCCCGACCCACGACGTGGGTGGTCAACAATTCCTCTTTTCCTACTGCTCGGCTTGCGAGAAAGAGCTCCGGCAGCGCGCTTCGTGTACGACTTTGGAACAGAATAGTTGCGACTTTCGAGCTCGGCTTGCGGAAGCTTGCTTCGCGTGCTATGCCACACTCGTGTTGAAGAAAGTTCCCGGGCTGCGGAAGTGTACTTCGTGTGCTCTTTGTGATGAATGTTGCGAACATAGCCCCGCGAAAGCTTCGCGATGGAGGTCGCGAAAGTTGTTTTCCGCGGAGACGGCGTTTCCGAGATAACCACCATAGTAGAAAACCGGCGAAGATAAACATCAGTATGCATACATGCCCAGCCAGCGTCGCCCGTTCTGCCCTGTATGTGAGCAGACAGGCTACAATTGCTACAATCTTTTTGCTGCCGGCTTGAGCAGAGGCACGCAGGCTTGCAGCTCGTTCCGCGCGAGCGAGTTTTTGCGCGCACGGGCGTGAGTGTGCGCAGCGTGTATGAGTGTGCATGTGTGCGTGTGTGTGCGCGGGCGGAGCATTGGAAATACACCCTGACGCCATCAAAGGGTTTCACAGGCAGGGGGGCCAAGCTCTCTCATGCTACTCGTTCCAACAGCTACGCGTCGGAGAGGGCATGGATGTGTACCTGCCGATGTTGCGCAAAGTCCTTTTGGCCCTTGGTGTCTCCCGCTGTGTGTGCTTCATGTTGGAGTTGATAAAGTTTTCAACTCCCTAGAACTCTAGCGGGAAGCCATCGGTCTCCCCACTCGAAGCTTACCCACTCAAAACACCGACTCGCTGACAAATATTTTTGGGGGGGTCTAGCTGTGTTCACCCCATCTTGGAACACTCTCGGATGCACCCATTGCGTGGCCAACGGGTGGGTCTGCTGGAAAATTACTCCTGAGCGATCTGCCCATCAGCAAAGCGGAGTCGCACCATTTCCAAGGAACGAGGCTTCACAAAAAGGAACAAGTTTCTGTTCGTTTGTGTTGCGGTTGGGTTGTGTCTGGTTGTTCATCGTCTTCGTCAACCGCGTGTCCGTCCTCTGGTACTTCGCCCGTGTAGTCCTCCCGTTCTCTTCTTCATGTCTTTCGTCATCCGCGTGTTGGTCTTCTTTCTCTTGGCCCGTGGAGGAATGACCTGATTGTCTTCAAGTTGTTTGCCTTTCTCCTCGTCGTCTTCTTCCTGTCTGCCTTCCTGGTCCCGCTCCTCGTTCCTCTCTCGCAGTTTGGCTTGACGTCTTCTTCCTCTTCCGTTGCTTCCATGTGCTCCTCCTCTTGGCCCCTTGCGGGGTTCGAAGTCCTCTTCTTCGAGCTTTCGTCTTCAACTTCTGCCTTTGTCTGGGCGGGATGCGTTGCCCTCAACACGCACACTATCCCTCCTCGCCTTCTTCTCTCCTATTCTCCTTTTCTCTGCTCCTTTGCTCCTCTTCTTCTCTCTTTTTCTCCTTTTGCCTGGGCGGGATGCGGCGCTCTAAATACGCACGCTCACTCTTTCTCTCTCTCTCTCTCTCTCTCTCTCTCTCTCTCTGTCTCTCTCTCTCCCTCTCTCTCTCTCTCTCTCTCTCTCTCTCTCTCTCTCTCTCTCTCTCTCTCTCTCTCTCTCTCTCTCTCTCTCTCTCTCTCTCTCTCTCTCTCGCGCTCTCTCTTTCACTTTCTCTCTCACTCTGCCCCCTCTTTTTCCTTTTCCCTTTCCTCTAAGGCGGGTCGCGACGCCAATACGCGTTCTCACTTCCTCTCTTTCTTTCTTCTGGTTCCTTTCTTTTCCTTTTTCTTTCTTTTGCGCTACTTCGCCGCCTCTTCGCCCGTTTAGGGATGGCCTCTTCCTCCTTCTTCAACTTCGCGGTGGTCTTCGTCCACAAGGTTTATTGTTTGGGGTTTTGTCCTTGTCGGTGACCCTAAACCTGGGTTCCCCGGTTTCTTGTTTGGGGTTGCGCCAGCGGAGCCCCCGACGTGGGGCCTTTTGCTTTGTTTTGGTTTGTTTCGTTTGTGTGTGTGTTGCTTGCGTGTATGTGTTCTGTGTGTTCTGTGTGTGTGTTTTGTGTGTTCTATGTGTTCTGCGTGTTCTGCGTGTTCTGTGTGTTCAGTGCGTTGTGTGTGTGTGTTGTGTGTGTGTGTGTGTTATGTGAGTGTGTGCTTGCGCGGGCGCCTGAGAGCGTGCGCAGTGCCTGGCGGAAAGTAAGGCGACACATCTACAGCGTTGACCACCGTCGTGCAGACGAATATGGTTTCGTGCAGCACTTAGGGTCAAGAAACGCAAGCTGCGTGGCGTTGGTGCTGTTTGCGGGCGCAACTGTCGGCGGATGCTCCGTGGCAAAGCGGAACGGGCACCAGGTGCATGGGGAACAGGCTCGGGACGACCAGGCGTTTCTGGCAAATGCCATCCCCAGCATGTCCGCGGCACACGCCAGGCCTTGGAATTGCCCAAAGGCGAAGCAGAGAAGGACAAGCCAGGGGAGTGCGCCGCAGCGCACAAGGACAGTCCCGAAAGAAACAAGGCCGTGGATTGTGGCAAGCTGGGTCGCGAACCTCCCCCCGACCTGAGCCAGCCTTGAGCACTCGAAATGCCAAAAAATCATGTCCCCCATTGAATCCGTGTCTCCAGTCGCCGCCGCAGGTGCAGGAAAAAGATGGTCCGAGTGATTCCGAGCAGGCCTGTTGCCAGCCGTGTGAGCAACGGGCTACACGTGACTCTCTTCATGAAAAAGTGTTGTTTTTCGCGGCTTGGCGCTGCGTGGGTGTGTGTGTGTGTTGTTCAAATAAGAAAAGGTGCATGCGTCATACGAAACACACTGTGTGTTTCGCGAATCTATGAACCCTCCGCATATGTCATGCCGGTGCTGATTTGTTTGCAGTAGGTGTGGCCGTCTCTGTTTGTGTGTGCTACGTGTCGGTACACATGCGCGAAATGTTCTTCCGCAGCTCCAGCTCGACAATAGCTCTGCATAAGAACGGGGGCAGTACGCAATGTGCACTTGTGTGGGCTCCAGCTCGGAATGCAGTCTAGTATTGAAGTACAAGCACAACGCGCGCATGGCAGTTTCGTAGATCCAACGTGAAAATCGCAGCTTGGAAAGATAAAAGGCTAACTAGCCAACTAGCTAGCCAACGGAGAATGACAGAATTCGAGCAAATTGCACGTGGAACTCGCAGGTGGGGTTTGCTGCTTTGAGTTTCCTACACAAAGGTCCTGATAGTGAACAGGATCGACCCTCATTCAACACACACAAGCAACCGGCGCGAGAGGACGAGGGCGAGGGGGGGGGAGTAAAGCTGCATAAACCTGGCTTGGGCAGAAACATGAACGGTAGCTCCAGCTCCCCACGTCCAAAAACTCAATGCAAGCACTTCTCAAGCCTCGCAATCATTCAGCAAACGTCTACTTTGCGAAGCACGCTTTCGCAGCTGCTGCTTGAAACTCGCAAATGTTCACTGCTGTCGCATGCAATACTCACGACACACGTTCGTGGCTTCAGCCCCAGAACCGCAATTGTTCAGCACAAACGTGCAAATTGAGGGTCTCTAGAGCCAGCGAAGCTGTCCGAAGCTTCCCAAAACAACGCGCCGAGGTCGGAGAGGCATGTTGTGAAGCGATCGAAATGTGCCACGGTGCATATCTGGACAAATGAGCTAACCGTTAAACCCATAACAGGGCAGGGGCTGTCAAATGCTTTGCGCAAGCCAATGGCGAACAGAAGTCACCACTCAGGCAATGATCGCGCCTTCGGCGTCGGTTGCCAGCATCACCCATACATTTTCAGATGAAACTGACCCGTGTGCTCGCCAGGCCCGGGACTTGCCCGAGGAAGGAGCAAGCGAGCACGCCGAAGCGCCCAAAGACAGTCCCGAGGGAGACGAGGCTTCGACTTGTGGGCTCTGACTCGGCTGTGAAGTGGCACTCAGTCGTCGCTGACAGGCGCAGGAAGATGAGCCACGTGATTCTGAGGCCTGGCAGTCTTCTTCATGCCTGCTGTAATGTCCTGCAGCAAGGAAAACTTCCCGGACGCATTTGCTGAAGGGCACCAGTGCTCACCTGACACCCAGGCTGACCTGCAAACACTGCCGACTATTACTGCGCCTTTTTCCAAGCTGGGAGGAGCACAGGCAGAGAAGGATTGCGCGTCCTACTGCTTCCGAAGAAGATTAGGAGACTGTTTGCTAGAAATCTGGTTTCTGACCATGTCCGCGATCAGAAGCACAACTTATGCAGGACAGGGCACTGCTGCATGGCAGCCAGTGACTTGCCACAGTAGGGCGACTCAGCACAGCCAAGCCAAATGAGGCTCTCTACCTGGCTCAGGGAGAAAAGGGAAAGAGATCATGCACCCTCGAATCAATTGCAACTATACTTGATGAACACGCAACTGATTTGTGCACAGGTCTTCAGGATGCCTCAGGTACCTGTCGTGGTGTTCCATCTCAAGGAAACGTTTGCGGCGCGCCTCTCTCTCAGACGCTTGCCATGTCTACTACCAAAAAGCAGTCAAAGGCCTCCAAGTCTGCGGACTCGATCAATGCGCGGCTGCAGTTGGTCATGAAGAGTGGCAAGTACAGCCTGGGCTACAAGACGACCTTGAAGACACTGCGACAGGGCAAGTCGAAGCTGGTCCTGATTTCCAACAATTGCCCGGCCTTGCGCAAGAGCGAAATTGAGTACTATGCCATGCTGGCAAAGACGGGTGTGCACCACTTCCATGGAGACAACAATGAACTTGGAACAGCCTGTGGTCGCTACTACCGCGTCAGTTGCCTCTCAATCACCGACCCCGGAGACTCGGACATCATCCGCAGCTTGCCCGGCCAGGAGTGAGGAGTGATCAGACGTGAGTGGAAAAACGAACAAGCACGTTTGGACAAGCGAGCTTGTGCAACCTTCTTGATGCGTGCAAACTTCCGGCTGCTAGGGAGCCATTTGGCAGTAGCAGGCAAGCACACATGAGCAGATCCATGCAGCGGTCATCAACACAACACTCCAGGATTCAAGGTGAACATACTTTTTGCGGGGGTGTTTTGGCCAGACACACAACTTCTCGGAGACCGCAGTGCGCAATGAGTAGGCTCGCGAGCCATGGCACAGCCCTTCCGACACAAGTAATTCACATTGTGCACGGAGCATGGAACAGGGGAAAAAAGTGGTGGCTGCTTGACCCGGGCGGGGCTGCAGTTTGACCAGAGCGAGTAAGGCCGAGTGTGTGTCGGCAAATGCCGCAGGGAGACTTGGATATCCGCCATCAGCTACGTGTGGTTTGGCTCAAGCAGGAGTTTTTTCCTGAAAGCACGCTCTATCTCAGAAGCAGGCCTTCGTCTGCGGACGTATTCCATATTTACAGGGCAGTGAGGAAATGTCTGACTCTGCCCCCCTTCTGAGCAGCACCAACCAGACCAGCGGAGGAACCTTTGCTCCAGCAGAAGGACTGTCATCAATAGAGGCTGCTCGCAGACTCCAACAAGATGGCCCGAACGAGCTGGACCCTCCTCAGAAAGAGTCCTTCTTTCGAATCTTGCTGCGGCAGGCGCAAAGTGTGTTTTATCTTCTCACTCTACTTGCAGCATTTCTTTCACACAGCTGTGGGGACACACCCAGAGGCATTTTGCTCGTGGTGGTTGTTTGCACGGTTCTGCTGTTGAACACATGTGGTGAGCATACCAGCCAAGATGCTGGCCAAGCATTGCGAAGCATGACGGCACCAACTACGCTTTGCTTACGAGATGGCCACCCTGTTGAAATCAAGGCATCTACGCTAGTTGTGGGAGATGTGGTGCAACTCCGCACTGGAGACATCGTGCCGCAACCTTAGCCGAGTTTCCTGTTTGATTGCGTGTCTCGCAAGAAAAGAATTCAGTTGTTCTGCCGGGTAACTGGGCGCAAAGAACTTTGAAGTCATAGCGTAGGCCGGCCGCTCTTGCTTCATGCGGTTCATGCGGTTTGGGACAAGAAAGGAAGACAATTTGAAGACGATCTTGTTTTGCTGGTGTTTCCCGAGGCCGGCAGACATGGTGCTCTTGGAGTCCATGGACTTGAAAACCAACGAGTCCATTCTGACTGGGGAACCCATGGATGTAAGCAAGTCTACTTCTGAACCTGCATCTCCTTCAGCACCTTTCCGCTCCAACATGGTCTACAGTGCCACAAGCGTGACTGCTGGACATGGAAAGGCTGAAGTGGTGGACACTGGTATGAGGAGCCAAGTGGGCCTGATTGCCAAGCGCTTGCAGGAATCCAAAGGCTTGATGGAAAAGAGCCCCTTGATGGTGTCCGTCAATATACTTGGCCAGGCCTTGAGCTGCGTCGTGGTGTGCCTGATCATTTCAGCAACGCTTTTGGCGTATGCCACCAAGTATGAAGATCCGGCTCGGCCATGTCCTCCTGACGACTCCGACTGCTTCTTGCGAACCGGTCTGCTCCGGGCCGTTATCATGTCTGTTGCCGTCGTGCCCCATGGTTTGCCGATGGTGCTGATGATTATGCTCAGGGTGAGCTCCATGAAAATGGCGGAGAGGGGTGGCTTGGTGATGAAAGTGTCCGCCGTTGACTACATTTCTGCAACGACTGTTGTTTGCACAGACAAGACTGGAACCTTGACCGAGGGCAGAATGACAGCATCGCTGCTTACAGGAATTTGCAGGGATGGCGCCGAGGGAGCTGCTGGTGGTACCACAAAACAGTCCGAGCTTTCCTTTTACCCCCTGAAGGGTTTCGCTCCCAACGGTGGCTTGTTTATCTCCTCTCAACTTCAGGACGAGCATCGGGCTAGTATCGATGCCACGTACGATGGGACCAAAGTTCGTCAGGACTTCTCTGCACCTGGATTGCCTGATGTGGCCAATTCGGAGAAGGCGGCCACAGCTGGCCTTGATGGGCTCATGGCACAGGCACACCTGGCTTGTGCCTTCCTGACCTGCCACAGTACCAGCTTGTGGCAATCGGAGACCGGTTCTTGGGAAATTTCTGGCAACATGACGGAAGGCGCGTTGAAGGTGGCAGCAGCCAAGGCCGGCCTCCAAGATGCACTCGCTTTGCTTGAACATGCCCGGCTCCCAGACCTTGAGGTGCCCTTCAGCTCCAGCCGAAAGATGATGGCGACGGTCCACCTCCTGCCAGCAAGCCGCCTTGCCAGTCTCAGATTCCCAGCTTCGTGCACGCACGTTGCGATCGTGAAGGGTGCACCTGACAAGCTGTTGGACAAGGCAGGCACGCTGGCAAAACTCTCCGCTGGAGCGTTGGAGGTCCCTGGTGAACCGATTACAGCCACTGATCGCAACATGCTCCAACGGCACAATGAAAAGCTTGCGCAGAAAGCCCTCCGGAGCCTAGCGGTGCTAGTTCGCCCCTTGCAGCCAGCAGACATGGAATCCATGATTGCAGCAAAGTCTGCAGATGACAGACTGAGCATCATTTTTCGAGATGCTTCCATGGCTTGTCCACTGAGCCTGTGGGGGATCTACGATCCGCCCCGCACCTCAGTCCCGCCTAGCGTCAAAGCTTGTCATGAAGCTGGCATTCGGGTCGTAATGATCACTGGTGATCAGCAGGCAACCGCAGCTTCTATTGGAACTCAAATCGGGCTGCTGCAGGAAGATGATGATCCAGACATTGCAACGGCGGTGTGTTCGGAGCTTCATGAGGTTCGGAATCCTGTCCGCCAGAGCCGTCGCTTGTCCCGGCAGGCACAGGAGCTTATCTCTGCCGGCTTCAGCTCGGGCACTGCAGCCACTGCGCATCCCAAGGCCAAACATCGTGGCTCCAGGAGACTTTCTGTTCATGATGCCCGCGGGCCTCAAGACAACGAGCCGGAGTTCAAGTCGGAGGAGGAGCTGATAGAGCTGGTATCCAGGGTGAAATGCTTTGCGCGAGCACAGCCGTCAGATAAGGTGGCGATAGTAGCAGCCTTGAGAGCTGCTGGCCACGTAGTTGCCATGACTGGAGATGGGGTGAATGATGCCCCTGCACTGAAGGCGGCAGATGTTGGTGTTGCCATGGGGGTCTCAGGCACTGCTGTGACCAAGAATGCCAGTGACCTGATTCTGCTGGATGACAATTTCTCCACCATTCAGCTTGCCATTGAAGAAGGCAGACGAATTTTCGGGAATACTCAGAAGTATGTGATGGTGAATCTCAGCATGAAGTTTGCGGAGACAACAAGCTTGATGCTATCGATTTTCTTTGGTGTGCTCCCAGTGATCCGCCCCACTCCACAACTCTTCAACATGATTCTCACACATGGTGTGAGTACCCTGTGTCTTGCCTTTGAAGCCGCAGAGGCGTATACCATGAAAGTTCCTCCTCGCGAAGTTCATGGCAGGCTTGTTACGCGCCATCAGGTGCTGCTGCGGATGGTGCCGTTCATCTTGCTTTTCCCTCTGGTGGCTTATGCCTCCCTCTTGATGGGGACATATGGTGCGGTGGGCTTCGTCGGCAACAAGGCACTGATTGGCAGCTCCAAGGTGGCAGACATGACAGATGGTCTCAGCGCATGTGAGCTTGCAGGCTGGGAAGATGAAGATGGACACTTTGAAGCCGACCTCCGGCCATTCCACTGCATGTGCAAAGTCAGCCAGGCGGGATTGCCCTGGCTGCAAGCTCAGCCTGTGGAACATTGGGGGACAACACGAAGCGTCACGGGCACTGACCCCACAAAGAACGCCTGGGAGCTCTCTATTGACAATGATGACTGGGAAGGAAAATCAGAGCACTTGGTCCGACCTTGCCAGAAGAACAACAAGCTGTGGTGCTGGCAGGTTCCTACATCGGCCCGCCCAGTGCTCCCGGCCGGCTTGAGTTGTGTGGACTATGGCCTGAGGACAGGCCAAACAATGGCCTTCGTAACAATCATGTTCGGTGAGGTGCTCAGTATCATGTGCTTCCGGCGCGAGGAACTTATCACGAAAGACCTGCTCAGTAACCCATATTTCAACTTGACTTTGCTCGGCAACATTATGGCTATGTGCTGTGCGATATACGTTCGTCCACTGGCTCGTGTTCTGGAGTTTGTGCCATTGAATGCAACCCGGTTTATTATTGCAATGTCATGCTCGCTATGGCTGGCCATTTTCTGCGAGCTAGCGAAGGCAGCTTACCGTGCAAGTCAAACTAGAAGCAGGCAGCTGCAGCAAGAGAGAGCCCTGGCCCTGTCCGGATGCAGAAGCATGAGCCGGAAGGAGCACGTGTAGCAGGCAAGCTGTTCCATTTACACCAATAATTGCTGAAAAGGATGCGCATCAACTTTACAAACGTATGGATGGCATGCTGGACGTGAAGCTGAGTTAGTATCAGAACAGACTTGGATATTGGCTCAAGCTCGGTTTGCCAAATAGCTAAAAAATTGCAAACGTGGAAGCACAGCAGCCGACATTGACACATTGAAGACTACAAACTACATGCCCCTATTAGCTAGTCATATGCCTTCCCCCCTGGCTTGAAGCTTTGCAGGGAATGGTTTGCCTCGCGCAGATGTGTCGTTCCCGCTAGACGACGCAGTGAAGCCTTGTAGTAGTTGCAATGGACTCCATTGATTTGGCTGTGCAAAGCGTTCAGAGGCTGCATGTTGCAACATGTTGCATGTGCTTCAGTGTGGCCAGCGCATAGGTTAAACGATGAGGAGAAGGTGATGCTGGTCGGAGCTGTGGTGTGTATCACAGTGCTACTTGGAGCTGTGTTTGTCTCAAGTCAGATCATCTCCAAGCAGTCGGCGCTGCTCTGTGTGAACAAGAGCTGTTGATTGTGTATGTGAAGAGTTGCGGATAAGGCTGCTTGTCAATGTTTGTTGTCTTTCCCGCTACGGCTGCGGCTGCTGCTGCTGCTGCTGCTGCTGCTGCTGCTGCGGCTGCTGCTGCTGCTGCTGCTGCTGCTGCTGCTGCTGCTGCTGTCGTCGTTTTGGTTGTTGTTGTCGTTGTCCTCGTCGTTATTGTTGTCCTTGTCGTCGTCAACGCTGTTGCCGTTGCTGCTGTTGTTGCTGCAGACTCGCTCGCTGCCATGCTTTTTGTCCTGCCTTCTGAAGGCCGGCCCTGACCCAGTGTTGACATGGCAGCTTGCGTCATTGCACACAGTTGTACGGCCGCATCTGACATGTTGGTAGATATTGCTGAACAAGGCTTTATTGCTTCTACCCACTGCATAATTGCAGCAAGTCACGCAGCAGAATCGGGAGCAATTGGAAGGGCTCTACGACACACAGCAGGCAAAGAATCGCACCACACACAAATTTGCTCCTACACCGCGGAAGGCAACACATGTCAAAGATGAATGTGAAAGCATGCCGTTTTTCAATTGTCACTGGGCCTTGTGCTTTGCATTGAGCTCAGGCTTCTTGTTTACGCTGTCAGCGGCCTGAGCCAGGGACTCAATGTGCTCAAACTTATGTCGATTCAGAGGCCGCGCTTGCGAGGCTCGATTTGCAAAGGACTACCCGCTGAGGAGGATGCGCTGATACAGGCAGCTGCCGCAGCTTGGTATGTTACTAGCTCCGCTCATGGCAGGCCACACCAGTTATGACTGTTCACCTTCACAGACCTGGCAACCAGAAGCTGGGCATATGCTTGCGGGCGAACGGCGATGGACCAGCAATCATCACTGGCAGCTCGCCTAACATTCAGCGCGCGAGTGACTTCGTGATGCTCCCAGGTGCGCAGGGCGCTTTGACACGTTTGCGTCAGGTATTTCGAGTGGGGAGCCGAAGCCTCAGAAGGCCTCAGATCCGGCCTCAACTGACTGAATTCGCATACTGCACATACTGCATGTTGAATCCCCCATTGCATATTGCGTCTAAGTCTGCTGGATTCTTGGAACGCTTCCCAAGCGTTTGCTGAGCAGCAAGTTCGATCTGGCGATCATATCCTGGCAGACATGGGCTTAGCTTGGGGTGCATGAGGGTCTTTGTCCAGCTTGAGATGGTTTGGCACGTGCGCATTCGACATACTTGAACTACCCGCAGATGAAAGAGAAGCCATGCCCAGCTCTGTAAGGTGACTAGTGGCGGCAGCACGTGCCGGGATGGAAAGCTCATGGCAGCCAAGCTCAAAGAAGCTGGTGCCACTCAGCAGTGACTGGACCATTGCACTTGCAAGCCTTGTGTTTCCTTGGCCATTATCATTGCTGCTTGGTACTGCTAAATCGTTACCACCTTGCAACAAGCAGTGATATGTTGGGTGACCTCGGTGTCAATTCTCACCTTGTTTGTAAAGTGCTGGCTCTCAGGCCCTGGCTCATAGATTAGAGCATATTTGGCTAAGATAGGGCCTCCGGGCCTCCCATTTGTGTCGCAGCCGCACGCTCTTAGGATGTTACATTGGCAATCGGCATCCTGCGTTCGCAAGCTGAAGTGGAGAAGTGCTGGCAGCGCGTTACTGGCACCTGCTCCGCAAAAAAGTACGACGACCAGACACCGCTATTGGCCCTGTCTTGTTGCGATTGTTGCACACCCGGCCCAGGACCGACTGAAATGATGTGTGGTGGAATGATTGTTTGGAAGGAGGTCTTGAGGCCACGTTTGCCTCCCCTGCTTCAGAATATCTGGATAATTTCGGACATTTGTCCATACATATCTCTTTCTCGGACCCTCCCCATCTAAAGATTTTTACATGGGCCACTGTTATGGGCCGTTGTTTTTGTGGTTTGCCGACGTGAGAGAGGTCCAAAAGCACAAATCTGCAAGCTTGATTTCAGCAAAAGGGCGATCAAGGGTGTAAACAAATGACTTGCCAAAATAGGGGCCCATTCAGGAAATTGTTTGTGCCAGTGGGTTTCCTGAATGGGCCCCTATTTGTGGGACCTGGGTTGGGGGCTTGGCACGAAGAGTCCCAATGGAGTTGGGACCTTTCGGGATTGCTGTTGTCAAACACAAGAGAGTGATCCTGACCAATCAACCAGGGCATCACCGTTGTATACCCATTATGTAAGTGGTACATAAAAGTATGTATTTTTGAACAGTTAATGGCCCATAACAATGGCCCATGTAAGATTCTTTAGACCCCACCGTCCCAACATGAAAGTGGGGATGTTCGTGCCTGATGATTTGTTGGCCGTAGTTCACCATGACTTGTCCCCGGCATATTCCAAGCACCCCGCCAACCCCGGCAACATTGTCAACGCTAACAAGTGCCCACCGAGGTGCTTCTGGATTGTCTGGGGGGGGGCGGGCAAGGCCGCAGCCATTTGAAAGCTGCTAAACGCTACGAAAGGCTAGCAAGGGATATCTCCCAAGGGCACTAAGGGCTATGAATGGCTTACCAGGGCTACCAAGTACCAAGAGCTACCAAGGACCAAGGTATGCCGTAAAACACGCAAGCCTGGTGGCTGTGGTTGGGGACTGGGACCCCGCTCCAACCAAAATTCAATGCTCCAACAGGGTGTCAAAGGTTCTGCGTGGGTTTCGACATGTTCCAAATCATTGGAGCAATGAGAGCTTTGGTGCTTCGTGCATGTACTGTGTAGTGTAGGATTTGGACATGCAAAACGAAATTGACAGAGCCATGCCCAAGACTTAATATAACTACTTCACAGCGATCTAACATGAAACCCAAGACAGGGCTTGGTAGCCTTTGGTTGGTAACCCTTGGTAGCCCCTGGTCCTTGGTGGACCCCCGCGGCAACACGCATGGCCGGTTCTCACCGAGTTGCTTGCTTGCAGCTCTGACTGGCCACTGCCGGAGAAACCTCCTCCAGTGCGGGAGAACACTGTGTGCCTCTGACCTGGCCGCCTTTGGCCCGCAGTCAATCAGTCGCACCCACATTCCGCTGCCCGTCTTCCGCTGTTGCGCCCGGTCGATGTTTGGCTCCCGTACTTTCGGACTGGTTCGCGAGAAGTTTCCGTCCTGCTGCCCGCTGTCCCCATGAATTCTCAAACCAGGTTGAGCTCATTTCCGAATTCGCAGATTGAAGTTAAGCAGATTTGAGCGACCCTGCCACGAAGTGGGGCCTGTTGGCACAACAAGGGGGCCGATCTTCTACCCCCTCACTCGCCCGCAAGGCGTGCAGACTCGCTCCGACCACTGGTTCGCACTATGAATACTGGCTCATGCTGCTCTCGGAAAGCCAGTTGCAAGCAATGTCGGGGATATTGCACCGCTGGAAGCAGGCGATGCTGAAGATGATGCTGGCGCCCAATCCCTTCCAAAACAGTTCCCGCAGAATTCACCAAGCAGCCGCGGCCTGGATTCAAACCCCATCAAGATTCGAGCCAAACGAAAAGACAAAAACACAAAACCATTACCAAATACAACTCAAAGCAAACTCCAAAGCCCACCCGCTTGAAAGTTGTCCACCCAAAATCACGCTCAAGCAAGCGGTCACGCAAATCCCATGAAGGGGGGGGAGTTCGTGGCGCGATGCTTCGCGTTGCTCCTCCGATCTGACCACCTTCTGCCCAAGAGTCGCGGCGGATGAAATAATCAGCGCATTTGTTGCGGCAAGTCGACAGCCGCCAGATTCGTTCTCAGAGGGCGGGAAGGCCCGGGTGGTGACTTGCTGGGACGCTGAAATAAGTCAGAGCACATGCGCGGGTTTGCGTTTCAGATTTTTTTACCAAGGTATGACAACCTTGCCGGACATGGTGCTTGAAGAAGTCGCTGAACTGGGAGCACCACGAATGTCTTTTGGAGGCGCTACCTGCCTGGATTTTAAAAGTGTGTTTAGGGACCTGCGACGGCTGCGACGCCTTGAGCTTGGATTCTTGTGAAGGTGGGGCCATGGACAAAGTGGCCATGGAAGTTCTGAAGGACGGCGCCCAACCAAGGCATTCGGGGAGACATTCATGCGCCGATCCTCAGGTTGGGCCACGACTGGCAGCGTGGAACGAGCAATGCCAGGCCAAGGCCGGTGGACCCTGCATTGCCCCTGCTGTGAGCCTGCCTGTGAACGTCACCTTGCAAGTGTCTGATCAGCAGTATGCTGTTAGTTTGTGCATCGCGCGCAGTTGTGCGTCCGCGTGCATGTGCTACATGGGTGCCTTTCGCGCATTCGTGCAGGTGTGAGTGTGTGTGTGTGTGTGTGGGTGCATATGCGTGTGCGTGTGTGCTTGAATGCGTGTGTGCTGCCATGTTTTGTTTTTTTTGTGTTGGCTGATTTTGCGTGCATGCATTCTCCAAGCGCACTTCAGCACCCCCTGCCAGCACTGGGAAAGCAACCACCAGCGCTGACTAATGCGTCGCGCTGACTATTGCCCTCCTGCGGGGTGCTGGCAGGGCAGGTTCTGCCGAGTGCTCTCAAATCACACAGGCTGAGCTATCCCGTGAAAGCTCTTGCTTTGCAAGGGCTGTTCGCTGGCACCCAAGTGTTTTGCATTTGTTATCGGCGGCCATTAGCCTCTT